CTGAATTTTCCAAGAAAATTACCATAAAAGGAAATTTTTTAGGAAATTTAGGATCAGCGGGAAGAGGTTTTTTTTTTAATAATTAATTATTTGCTTATTAAAACTTTTTTTTATTTATTTTATAGATTATTTATTTATTTATTTTTTTAATTTTAATTTTTTTTAATTTATTTATTATTATTATTTTAACTTATGTTTTTTTTTTTTTAACCTGCAATTATGCCGCAATGGTATATCTTTATTGAGATATTGAAAAATACCCAAATATTTTATAGACTTTTACAAAGTGATTAACTTGTCATTATACATTATTAATTAAAAGACTACACTACTTAAAAAATATGAGGAGTCCACTAAGTTAGTTCGAACTAAACAAAACTAAGTCTAAACTAGATACTCTAAGTTAGATTTAGGAGACAATATTTCACTCTCCTAGTAGCTTAACAATAGTATCTCTAAGTCTACCAGAGTCATTACCAACAATTTGTTACTGTAGATTATCCCGAAAAATGATGAATTGCTAAAGTTGGCACTGGGAAAGGGGAAGGGAGAATGCAAATCAAAACCCTCCAAAAGGTTCTTGCTCTATTTCACAGTTTCCTCTCGAAAGGGGTTTGCCTAATTGGGATATTCTCTAAGCTTCATGATGTTTAAGGAACTTAGCCATTCCTGAAAGTGACTTCAAGAAGAACATTTGAGGAACTTATTCTTCTTCCAATGTACGGATTCACTTATCGCTAGTAAAGCTAGTGCCATATTATGGAAGAGTTTGCCTGATTGGGATAAAGAAATCTTTTCAAGAAATTTGTCTGACTGGGATAGAAGCTTGGAGACCTCAGTTTTTATCCAAGAAAGCCTTTTCACTACCTGAGGAACTTAATGAGAGATGGGAGTTGAATCTTCTTTTTGTACCTATCACTTGCCTTTCAGTATCATAATTGTTTCCTGGAGGTTGAATATACACAATTGAAGGGGACACTTTTTCTAGAACTTTCTTTTCTACATTACCAATGATGTCATTGGAACACATGAGGTAACCAGTAGGTACTTGTTTATATTCAGCTACTAACGTGTTTCATATTCACCAATCATATTTTGCAATAGATTGTGTCATCTAAAATTCAGGGTCAAACTGAGGTAGGCAAAATTCCTCAGAAAACCAAAAAAATTTTGGGTGACTATAAGAGGGAAGAAACAGTGGGCAGACACTTTGAAATATGGCTTGATGTTCGCCACCTCCCATTGCAAAAAACCTCTATAGATATGCATCAATATGAAAGGCTTCAAGTACTACACTATTAGTTTTTTTTCCTTTCAGAACTTTCTCACCATAGGTAGAGAAGGTGTTTCTTGACTTTTCTAGATCACAGGAAGCCAAGTTTTTGTTTGAAAATAAATATAAACAAGAGGAGGGGTTTAAGAGTATCTCTTAAAGTAAAACTTTAAGTTGGTTTAAGGATAGTGTTAAGACTTTATTAGCAAGAAAATAAAAAATTTCTTGCAAACATCTTTTTTGTGTATGATTAGAGAATCAGCGGAAAGAGTTTTTTACTCTCTTAATAAATTAATATTATAAATTTATTTATTAATTTTAATATTATTAATTATTACTATTGATTATTTTTTAAAAAATAAATTATTGAATTTTTTTTTTTTTTTTTTTTTTTGCACGAAACAGGCCCACTTTATTAAGATTTTTAAAGTATATGATACTTTGATTACAAAGCTATTTTGTAAACATTTTCCTATGTTACCTATCTAAAATTTCCTTAAAAAAGCCAGTTTGTCTTTTTAGACCCTCTGTGGCTTGTTACTTATATTTATGAAACTAATGTGCCTAAGCTTCATTAGTGTGCGAGAAGATGTCGTAGATGGTTTTGGTGCCAGAGATGATGTCAGTTAGCAAGTTGTGAGCCAACTATGTGTGTGAGGTGTGTTGCTGTTTTTGACTGTTGCTTTGTTTGTGATATGTGCTGTTTTTTTTTATGAGATTTTATTGTCTTTGGTCTATTTTTGAAACCTTTTGCATCTATCTTCCCATATGTTGAAAGTGAGGAATTTAATGTTGTTGATTATACCTCTAATGGTTTCTGCTATTCTGTTTGTATCTAAATGTTGTGTTATAAGTGTGGTTATACTTTTGCTGATTTCACCTCTGATTAGTGTATCCCAGGTGTTGGGGTTGTTGAGGCTAGTTGAGGCTTCAGATTTTATGTTAGTGTTGGTGGGACCATCTTTTCTTGCTATTATTTCTCTGCTGATGATGTTGGCTATTAGTTCTTTGATGTTCAGGTCATGTTGCTTGCATAGGAAGGGTGTTTATTGTCTTCTATATCTGTGCATGCAAAGCAAGTGTCAGTGACGAATGTACAAGGATGTCATTTTTTGAGTATGGACATGGTTGATAGTTCTTTGTTCCATATTTTTATGAAGAAGGTTCTGATTCTGTGGTTCCATGAGTTGCAGGGTAGTGAGTTTATATTGAAGGGATGGAGGTTCGTTAATAAGTTTTTTCAGTCTATTTCCTCTTTTTATTTGTCTATTAAGGCTTTGTATCTTTTTAGGTTGGTCCAGTCCCAGGTGTGTTGTGCCTATTGTATTGTTGTGATGGTTTGTCTAGTGTCATTGAGAATTTCAATATTGTAGAGTTTGAAGATTATGAGCTTCTTTTGAGGGATGTATTGTGTGAGGGTGCCTGTCATGTTGAGTGTGTTGTTGTCTAAGCTTTCCCGGGCAAGCTTGTCTACTCTACAATATTCTTTTGCTGGGTTGTCTGGTTGGATTTTATGCCATATAATTTTTAAGTGCTGTTGATTTATTGTTTTGATTATTGCACTAACTAGTCTAATGTGTTTGCATTTTTTTCCTGGTTTGGTTGTGGCTTTGTTGATTTCTTTGATGGCGATTGAGGAGTCGCAGTAGATATTGCTGGTGCTTCCGTAGTTGATTAGGTTGATGGCAGTAAAGATTGCTAGGAGTTCTGCAGTGGTACTGGAACCTGGGACTGCTATGCTCATTGTTATTTCTGTTACTTGGTACTTTAGATCTTTGAGGACTATGCCTATTCCTAGGTTTTTGTTGTTTTTTGCTGGATTGAAGGCTCTATCACAGTATATGTCGAGGTTGTTATGGGGTTTCATTTTATTAATGAGGTTTTCCATTTGGGTGAGAGTTGTCTTGGGTATTTTGATAAGTTTGTTGAGTTTGAGAAGTTTTTTTGAGGTTGGATCAATTTTTACTGCAGTAACAGTGTCATTGGGTTGTTGCCACCAGGTGGATATGCTTCCAGGTGATATTTGTGTGCAGAAGATGTTTGTTGATTCATTGTTGATTCTAGATTTGGTTGTTTTGGTAACTGGTATTTTGCCTAGCTCATTGTTTTAGGTATTGATACAGCACATATTGCTTCTGCCATCCTTAGAGTTTGTAAGGTTACAGCCATTACAAGCTGTGAGTGGAGAGTTGTTTGTGTGTTGGTAGTGTCTGAGTTTGGTTTGTTCTTTGTTGCTGCTTAATCTTTTTCCTATTGCTAGTTGTTGGTTAATTATTGTTGAGTACCAGGCAGATGTGCTACTACTAGTTGAAACATGTTCAATTTGAATGAAGGCATTAATATCTTGTGGATTTTTTTTGTTTTTGAGAAAGGTTAAGCTGATCAAAGTAAGGTTGAAGTACCATTCGGGTTCTTTCCTTTTGTTTAGTTTTGAAGGTATCTAAGGTCTGTTCAATGTACATAATGCGATGGCATCTCAGGGCTTCTCTATGTGTGTGGTACCAGTTTTGATCAGTGATTTCACTTATGTGGTGGAGTTGGTCCTTGGGGTTGTTGACTTTGATTTTGTTAAGGGCAGTTATGTGGTTTTATTGAAGATTGTTTATGACATCATGATAGAAATTGTGTCCTGTTTTGAGGAAGTTAGGGCAGTTCTTCAAGATGGAGTTTTTCTACCATGCAAGCCATTGTAGGTTTTGGATCCTGTTGCAACCTGCAATGTTTTGAGCTATATGGAGGTCTTGTAGGTCACTTGCATGTTTTTGAAGTTGTCTTGTTTGGATGTCATTGATGCTATAGTATATTTTGAGATAGAGGATGGAGTTGAAAATTGTTGCTGCAAGGTTGGCCTTATACTTCATGCTTCTTTTGATCCTACGGTTGATTTTTTGAATTTCGAGCTGACTGAAGACAAGGTCTCCAGTTAAGTATTCGATTGTTGGGAAGAGAACATTATTGATTATATATTTGTGCATCTTGTCATTATTTGTTTTCCTTTCTGCTATGGAGCATATCATGTTGATTTTTTTCCATATTAGGCTTTTCTGGGTTTTTTTCCCTGGTCATATTTCGTGCCATATCCCTAGGCCTCTGATGGTATTTTATTTGTTGACTGGGTCGATGACATGTTCCTTGATAGTGATGCTTTGTTGTTGGGCATTTATGATAAGAAGTTCTGATTTGTTGGGGTTGACAGTGATATCATTTAGTGAGTAGAAGGAGTTGCTGATATTGATTATGTCTTCCAAGTATTGTTTGCTTTGAGTGATAAAGGTTGTATTATCCATGTAAGCTACTATGGAGATGTTATATTTGATTGTGTGAGACTGTGAGGGTCTTGTCTATGTGTTCAGAGATTGTATCAGGTATCTTACTGATTTTGGGGATGAGTGGGTCATAGTAAATGCGCCAGAGGATAGGTGATATTGTGTCACCTTGGTTGATTCCTTCATAAACAGGGTAAGGGTTTGTGTTTCTAAAGTATGTGATTACTGAATTTTCTCAGTTAGTGAAACAGTTTTGAATTATGCTGATAGTTTTGGTTGGGATTTTGATTCTTTGCATGGCTTAAATTAGATGGTTGATATTGACTGTGTCGAAGGTCTTGCTCATGTCTTGGAAGAACATATAACATAATTTGTGTGTTTCTCAAGCATCCTCTAAGACTCTATTGATAATAGTGATTGGTTCCCTGGTGCTTTGTTGGGGTAGAGCAGCCCAGTTATGTTCAGAGAGTATGTGGTGTTTAGTTAGTGTATTTGATAGTCAGATACAAATGGCTTTAGTGAAGATCTTTTTTATAAATTCTAATAGCGTTATAGGTCTGGTAATATTTATGTTGTGCTCCCAGTCTTTAGGTTTTGGAATGGGGTAGATAGTGCCATGTTTCCATTCCTCTGGTATCTTTTCTTTAGTGAGAATTGTATTGAAGAATCTGGTTAGGCCTATCAGGTTATCTTTGTTGAGGTGTTTGAGAGCGACGTATGGTATGTTGGATGGGCCCGGGACAGATTTGTTACTTGTTTTGCTGATAATGGTTTGGATCTCCTCCTGAGTAAAGGGCTGGGTGGTGGGGTCATATCAGCTGGCTTTAATGTCCTCCTTGGGCTGATATTCTGTGTTCCAGATAGTGCCCTCGATATTTTTGATGTCCCATTGATGTGTCCAATCTTCGAAATATTGTCAGATTGTTTGTTTTATCTGCGTAGGGTCTGTGATAACTGTTTTCTCATCTTGAACTTCTTTGATGAGTCTATTGATTATGATGCTTCTCTTGGGTTGGTTGAGTAAGGATCTGATCATTTGTTTTTTGTTTGTGTCAAACCAGTTCTGACGTCTGGATCTTGCTTTTTGAATATCATTTCTGATTCGTTGGTCGATGGATTTTTTGTATTTGAGTTTTTCAGTGTCAATCCATTGCATGATTTTTTTAATGGTTGAGTCCAGGTTGTCACTTTCCTTGATAGTTAAGAAGGGGATCTGTTCTTGAATACTTTTAGTTAAGGATTATAGGGTGGATGGATTGAATTTCGGATTGTGATTCTTGAGGTGTTTGAATTGATGCCTAGCTTCTGCTAGCTGGAGCAAAAGTATAGGTCTTAGTGAAGGAATGTTTTTTATTCTTTTTCTTTTTCTTTTTTTGTATTTTGTGATGTGGCTGTTTGCTGCTGCTAGAATCCAGTCACGGAAAGTGGTCCAGAGTTTGTTGGTGTCTACATTTTCATTCATCATTTGGTTCCAGGTGGGCATGTATGAGTCTATAGATTCCGCGAACTTTTGCAAGGACTGTTCAGATGTTGCTGCCTAATTGAATCTAGTTGCATTTGTGGGGTGACGGAAGCATTTGGTGAGAGTTTGAAGTTGCCATGTTTCTATGTGCATTGAGACTGCCCTGTAGTCTGTGGCTATGTTTTGTTCTGTAATGTATGTATCTATGGGACATCAGGTTGGGTGTGAGGAGATCCAGATTGCATCTATTCTGCTTTTTGGAGTTGACTGTCCATTTAGTGGACCATATATATTCTTTTGAGTGTGGGTAAAGGTAGCAGTATATGTCTATCATGTTCATTGTGGTGAGTTTGTCGAAGAAGGGTTCAGTTTTGTTCGAGTGATGTCTTTTTGTAGGGCTGTACTTATCTTTGTGACAGTTTGGATATGCATTGAAGTCACCGGCTAGAATTATGTGCCAGTTCTATTTGTTTTTTGTGGCAATCAGGTTGATTATTGTTTGTATTAGTCTTTTCTTTTGCTGGTTGGGTGTGGCAGATAGATATGTTCCTATGATTTGTATGTATCTCTTTTGTGGAAGGCTAGATTGATACAAAGAATTCTGCCTTCATATCTATTGATGTTGATGACTCTGTCTCTGAGGTTGTGTTGGATTGCAATACCGATGCCTGTACCGTGACCCTTGCCTTTCCATCAGGTAGTGTATGCATTTGCTTTCTAGGGTTGTTCGTCATTGTTCTGGTTTATTTCAGTTGAGATTATGATATCTCATTGTTGTTGTGTTCACATCTTCTCCCATATGAAGCGTTTTATTTTGTCTTTGAGTCCTTGACAGTTTAGAGTTGTGATAGTAAGATAGGGTTTGTCAGTGTAATCGAAATTGTTGTTAAGTTGTGCTGGGTTTGTTAGTTTTGAATGATGTGTAGGGGTTTGTGTCAATGTAAGTGTGTCTTGCATGTGGATGTCAGAAGTGTTATTGAAGTTGGTGTGAGTTGTGTTCTTGTTTGGTTGCTTATAGGTTACTTCTGAATTCTCAAGGTTACTTTGATTGTTTCCCATTATTGTGAAGTAGATAGGTGAGTAGAATTGTTTGGGATTAGAGTAGAAATTGCGTTTATGATGTTTCGGTCCATTTTATTGATGGAGGAGTGGAGTTGGTGTTGTGTCTCTTGTATATCTTGGTTTTGGTTTGGGGATGATGGTCATGTAGAGTTGGAGGGTGAAGGTGTCTTGAGATCTGTTTTTATATTGCCTATGCCATCTTCATCATAGTATTCGAGGTTGGTGATACGTTCATCGAGGTCTGAGATGGTTTTTTTGATTTCACAATTTCTTTCATAATCATGTTAAGGGTTTGTAAAATGTTGGGCAGGAGATCTTGTTCTTGATTACTTTGTGGTTGGTGGTGGTGGTGAGATCGGAGGGCTGCAGCATATAATCTATGGGCTTTGGTCCTTGGAGTAGTTGTGGTGTGTTGACAGATGTTTCTGGTACCCATAGGTTGAAATTTGTTATATAGCTTGCCGAATCTTTTGGCTTGTTCCTTGTTGTATTCGGTCCATTGTTGTCATGTTTCTTTCCTGAGACATTGGGTAGCTAGGTGATCAGCCTGGTCACATATGGCGCACAGTTTGGTAATTATTGGGAGGAGGATAACAACTGTTTCTCCTTGTGTGAATATTTTGTTCAGAGCGTTGTTAAGGTCAGTTTTGGTTTCGAAGCTGATAACTGCAAATCTTTTCCTGATATATGACATGTGATGGGGATGTAACAAGTTTTGCCATTGATTTGTTCTAGTATGTGTTTGAGGTCAAAGGCTGTTGTGTTGAGGGGGAGGCCTGTGAGTTTGGTGCAATAGAGATCTTGTTTTTCATCTGCTCCATATTGAGAGTTGCATCAAAGATCCTTACTGAGTCTCCTTTGATTCGTGTGCTGCCCTGGGTTACTAGGTGATCTCTGCTCATTTTGTCTTGGTAAGTGATAGTCACAGTTTGTCAAATTTGTTGTATTCGCATGATAATGTTGGTGATTGTTCCAAATCTGGCAAAAGTAAGTTGGAGGTCTATGAGTTTTGTGTATAGTGGGATATCCCATACTCTGATACTGTTTTCTAATTTAATAATGGGGCTGCTGATCTCCATATGCGTGAGTTTCTTGTTGTCTATATTTGGTAGTGTTATAGTGCTTCCAGTTTGGACTGCTTCCTTGTTGTCAAAGAGGGCTGTGATGTAAAGGATGTTGTCATGGGATTCGCTTCTAATGTTGAGAAAGCCTTCAGGAGATCCAAGGGCTCTTGTTACTGCCAGAATCTTTTTGTCGATGGTTTCACCAGGGACTTCATCAGCTATGATGCCAATTTTGCTTCGAGTTCTGCCATATCTAGTTTGAGGGTCGAAGGGAGATTTGGGTCGAAGGTGAGAGTTTCTGTTTTCTACTTTTTGCCATTTTGTGTTGTTTGTTGTGGATCCTACAAGTTCGGGTTCACTATCATCCATTATTTCGATATCGGAGTCATCAATTCTCTTGGGTTGAATGGTGGATTCTTTATTATCGGGTATCTCTTTTTCTTTCCCTTTGAAAGGGAGTTTGAGAAAGGTGAGATTTGGTTCCGGGGTTTGTCTTGCTAGGTTTTCCTCTACTTGTTTGCTCCAAGATTCAGTGTTGTCAGGTTGGATGTTCATTGAAGGGTTATTTTTTCAGGAGTCAGCGGAAGATG